GTTTAAATAGTTTAAATTCAATGCCGTGGAAGCAGCTCAATGACGTGTTGGTTGAATATGCCAGTGTATATGTGTGACCAGATGACCAATTGCGTCAGATAATGATGACTCAGCACAACATAGATACAAACAGTGCATGTCAGATAAAATAACCACTGTACTGACGTCTCTATAGCACCACCACAGATGTTTTAGGATGGGGTCATACAACGTTTGGAAAGTGCTTGTTTGTCGCCAGTAGTGATTGTCAGGGAGAAGTATTGTACACCAGGGATCATGTTGGTTTTAGAGGTCATAGTGAAAGGGTTTTCTTCGTATATTACTATGTATTATCGTGTATTTTTTATATGATAGTTTAGGTGTTTTTATGTATTTTAGTATAGTTATTTGTTTAAGGGTCTTGTCATTCTTGTACATGTAACCATTCATAGGAATGAGGGAAAGTTAAGACATTTCTTGACTATGTTATGAGTTCAAAGTTTATATGTTTTGAAATTAAATTTACTTCTCAGCTTGACACCAAGTCTGAAACAGGGACTAGGAGAAGAGTGTGATATGCACGCAATCATGCATTTTTCACCATCTCATATTAATACAGGAATTGAAAAAAAAATGTTCACGTGGGCTGAATCTATGCAGCTTTTAGCACAAACACGTGGTTCAGATAATTCTCGAAATATTGCTCCAACCTCACACATTGTGTAAGAATGCCATTGACAGCAATGTCCTTCACTGGCCTAGTAGATGATGTCTAGAAGTTACAGCCTTTGTACATTGTAAGAGAATGACCAATCACGTGATGATGCTTGTCACAAGGATAAAACTAAAGTTTCCTGTTTGGCATGAAGTATCAGTTTTAGTGAGAAGACAGAAAATTCTACTTCGTTCGAGATGTGAGTCGATCAAGAGAGAATCTTCTCTGAGGATAATAACTGTTAATTGATTCACTAATCTGGTAAGAAAGCCATTGTCCATAGTCTACCCATTTATGCTTCAATGTGTTTCTACTTTGTATTTCAAATATTGTTTTACACTTTACATCACATATCTAGGCTATTTAGTTTCTTAGTTTAAACTCGGTCATTTAGTGGAATTCAGATTCTACAATTATCCTGCATGAGTCTCCCGAGTGGCACAGTGGTATGTCTGCGGACTTGTATCGCTAGAAACAAGGTTTCGATACCCGTGGTGGGCAGAACACAAATGTGTATATTTGTGCTTAATAACAAACAACAACAACAACAACCCTTTTATAAATCGGACTTATCTAATATCAATGTGGAAATCATTTTACCCTGAGAATACAATACTAGCAAGTGTTAGTCTAATATTTTTTTTTTTTATATAATTTATGGTTTGGATGCCTAAAAATTGGGAAATGACGTTTTCGGATACATGAAAGGGGGTACCAGGCCTAAAAATCCTTGAGAAACCCTGGGTTAGAAGAACCAAGGAATTCAATTTTATTTCAATGGATTATTGGACTTCACTTATTGTTCAACATTGACGATCACCCTTTAATAAAATAGAGCCCCAGTGAATCAACTGTACATCACGACAATAATTGGACATTAAAACAAATTAATCTCTTGTAGCATTCTTTCATTACAATATCATCACAAACAAACGATCTTACAGTTAAATACCCGTCAATATTTGAAAAAAAAACTTTTGCATATCAAGAAAATGAAATAAATAATAGTTTAGGTGTATTTGCGCAGAGACGGCGCCAGCCTATTCCCAATAAGAGGGCTGAGGTGGACTAGACAAAAAGAAAACTGATGATACTGCACTCTGCATCTTGTGCACACACATATACTGTAGTATTTAGAAAGCGACTAGCTTTAACAGTTAGCATTATTCACTCTGCGTGGGGGCCACATGGGAGACTAAGGCACAATTTGGGATAGCCTAGTCCTAGCCAACCCCCCCCCCCGCCGTTCTCTCTGTATATGTGTTGTATTGTTTTAAAAATATTTCGTACAACGTAAAAGTTGTGGAAACGTAGTTTTCTTCGTTATTCTTGGAAATTAACTGAATACAAATATGAGTAGAAAATATAAAGTATTTTTTTATATTCTCTTTTTTTTAAGGTAAGAATATTTAGTAGTTACAGGGAATTTCATACATACTGTTATTACTTGGTGAACTTTTCCCTCTTCTGAGTTATTTTGTAGCAAGTTATAGCTAACGGTGAACAATAACTCACTTATAAGAGCCGAGTGCAAGTGATTCTGATCATACACTCGAGATTTTAACCGCCAGATTTTATTTTGGCTCCATCTTTAAATAAGCTCCCCCACCAGTAGCACAGCGGAATGTCTGCGGACTTACAACACTAGAATCCAGGTTTCGATACTTTGGTGGGCAGAGCACAAATAGCCCATTGTGTAGCTTAGTGCTTAATTACAAACAAAACAGTCTTTAAGACGTGTTTAACTTGGCAACAGTGCAAGTTAGAATGATGACTTTAAAATGATCAGATTTAATTAAACTGAAGCCTCTCCTCTTTCTTAACAGGTAAATATTAGGAGCATGTGTTTATTTATCTATGTTTTTGTGTGTGTAAATAAGAGTCTAAATATAGAGTAGGCGCATTTGTCAAAACGTTTCTTCATTTTAAGGTCCCATTTTTAACTTTCCCCTAGCGGTTAGAGGAGATGTGGTCAGATAGCAGGGTGTGTAACATTTATAACAATTTATCTAAAAATAGAGGGTGGTGTAAAAGTCGCTCACCACCAGGAGTTTTCTTCTAAGTCATGTTTAACTAAATAACCATTTTTCTTGTGTTACGATAATTAACTGGAGTGTCTCAATCTTACAAGAACGCGTGGAAATGATGTTATTGACTATTGTGATATTATCTCGTAATATTATCGATGCACATTTCGAACAGCTGTAAGAGAAGGACTTAGAATTATCACAGTGGTCCATGTCTTTAGCTTCACTCTGTACAATAATAAATTATATTCTGCCTTTGCTTCAGCATTGAAGGATGACAATTAAAAGAAGTTTTACATAATATAAAGAGTAAAGCCATGGTACAAGTTAGTGTTTCTGTCCATAACTAGTTCCCCAAAATGTATATTATAGCTTAATAAGCTTATTTTACAAAATCTGTGTATGATTTAGTGTGTAGTGGAGAAGACAGACCGTCAAATATCAACGTCAGCATGCCTACTTGTATTTAAGATATATATGATCTGATTTCTCAACATGATAATAGTTTCTCTGAGTTAAAAGAAGTTCTTTAACGAATAAAAAGAGAAAGTTAAAGTTTTTAATAAGAAAGATAAGAACCACAGACAACGAACACCACCTTTGATTACCGGTTTATTTGCTTAGGACGTTTCGAAATAAGCATTGGCCATCTTAAGCAAAAGCCTAAAACAAATGGATGGAAATAATAAAATTTATTGTTTATGTCCAAGTGCCTTTTTCTGTAATTAAAGATGATGATCGTAATATCTGTTGGACTTCTATATCTTATGGATTTAAGATTTCCGCCCAATAATCTATTGAAATTAAGATTACCCCGAAATAAAGTTGTTGTTGTTTTTTTGCAGATCATTTATATAACTAAAATACTGGAAAAGTAAACGCCGAACAGTCGTAGCGACTTAAATCAAACAGGTTTTTTAAGTAGATGTATGTGTGTGTGTGTGTTAAGTAGATGAATAATGCTAAAACTAAAAAACATTCTTGTCTTATATTACTGCAGAACGAAATGTCTGCTACATATGTAATTGAATCATTGCAGATCCCTAGTCTGTCTTAACATTTTCAGTAGGCCTAGCATTGGTTGATAGCTGGGGCACTGGACTCGCAATCTCAGGGTCGCGAATTCGAATCCCGTCTCCATACGTGTTTGCCCTTTTATTCGCGAGGGCGTTATAATGTGAAAGTCAATTCCGCTTTTCATTGGTAAAATATATCCCAAGAGTTGGCAGTGAGTATTGTTGACTGTCTGCCTTTCCTCTAGTCTAACCCTTCGCAGATAGCTCTCAAGTGGCTTTGCACGAAAATCGAAACAAACAAACAAACATTTCAAGTATCGGTTTATTTGTTGGAGGTCATTCAACTCCCAGGAAACCATTCATTTGGTAGTAGGACTCTGCCACGCGTTGTCGACTGTCATAGAGTTCCGAAACTGAGAAAGCACGATTAAACCATTAATGTTGCAGACTAAGAAGCAGCAATAAAGCCCACATGGAATTTTAGGTGGTAATTGCTCTTCTTACTGGCTCAAGACATGTTATTCTTTTGCAAGTCACTACTGGTTGAAATCTTTGGGTTAATTCAAACGTTATGGTTTGTTCTTTGTCCTTAACCGCGAAACTACACAATGGGCTCTCTCTGTGGTGCCCAATGAAAGCATTTAAACCCAATTCTTAGAGTCATAAGCTCTCAAACTTACTGCTGAGGCACTTGGGGGATCAAACGTTATTCACAAGTCGGCCTGTTAAGCTGTAGTTTTAAGGCTTCGGCCGTAGACGTTTCGAGATTACGAACTTCAACTTGGAACCTTCAATGGAGCAATTATATAGGTATTGCTTGAATTATTCAGCACTATCAGCGTGATTTTTCTTGCTTGATTTAAACTTACATTATTATAAAAAATAATTTTTACAGTAATATTTAATAGACATAAAGCATCCAAAACGTTTGAAAACATGTATTTGAATCCAACTTCATTATATGCTTATACTAATAGAAATATTGCAATAACATATAACGCTTGTCTTTATTAGTTTAACCCTAATGAGAGAACGCCTACCTTTCAAGACTAACTGTAAAATAATGAGATTCACGTGACAATAGTAGAAAGGAACAATATTGTTAATTATTATTATTTTGACTTATCGATACCTCATCTTAAATTTTGTTCGTGTTTTCAGATTCTATCGACACTTTCAGATTGATTAGATATCATTATTCGCAATTTGCTTACTTTGATTGGCCACGTATTTATCATGTAGAGATTTTTTTCCCATTTCCAGGTTTTCATGTTATTCCCAAGATTAGGCTTATCTGTCCAGAAAGTTGTGTACTAATTGTTGTTGGTGTGCTCATTGGTCTACTGCTTTTTTACACCGGTCTGGGGGGAGTGGGACCTCTGACACCAAAAGTATTTTTCCTCTACTTGTTACCTCCTATCATCCTGGATGCCGGCTACTTCATGCCTAATCGCCTCTTCTTTGATAACATGGTATCAATTTTGATGTATGCTGTAGTTGGCACAATCTGGAACACCTTGACCATTGGTTTTTCACTGTGGGGCATTGGACTGACTGGTCTTTATGGAGTGAACATGCCGCTACTGGATATCCTGTTATTCAGCTCTATTGTCTCTGCTGTTGACCCCGTGGCCGTGCTAGCTGTTTTCGAAGAGATTCACGTGAATGAAATGTTGTATATCTTGGTGTTCGGAGAGTCCTTACTGAACGATGCTGTCACAGTGGTGAGTTAACGTTGGTTTGTTTCTCCTGTTTTGTTTTAACTGATTTTCTTTTTAAACAATTAAGTGCCCGTCAGCCTTATTGTATTATATAAACTTAAATTTTATTTGTGTAACCACGCATGTGAACATATCTAATTACTTAATTTCATTATTCATAATTCGATCGTTTTATGTAGATGTTTGAGGTAACTAAACGGACAGACGATAGAATTAATACATGTAGACGTTTGAGGTAAGTACGCGGACACCCATGGCATTGTAAACTCTGTTGTGGAAAGGTTAATATTTACAGATCGAACGTTTTTGAGATTTTTCTCAAGCATCAGATAAAAAATATCGTAAAGAAGAACAGCTGGTGTAATCGAAGAAACCTTTTATAGTCAGACCGTTCTTAGTGTAAATAATATAAAATAATTCGAAGTTGGTACATGTAACGAAACTGTATCATCGGTATATTAAGAAAAACTAAAACTATGAAGGAGACAAACATCTAACTCTTACGGGTGATGATTATTTTACTCTTTCTTTATCAAAGTGACGCATTTATGAGATTAGGAAAGGATTTCTATTTTTATCACTAGCCATTACACTTTTGTGGCGCCATCTAAAGGAAATAACGTTGCAATATATTTTTAGTAATCGTATGTAAATAGCAGTTTTATCTGTAAAACAGCAACAGCTGAATCGAAATCTAAGTATTCTATTCACGCCGGTATTTAAAGCATAATTCCAAATGTTTCTGATGGCACAGTCTTGGCTTCGTAGTTCTACAGCTGCCGCTTCATTGAATGTGTACAAAGCGATGTGTTTGAAAGGAAAAAAAATTCTATACTTTTTAGATTTTTACATTACTTTGTTTAGGCCTGAGCAGGCGTTTCTATTTTGGTGGGACTTTTTTTAGATTTTTCTTTTTTTTTAGACAAGAGTCATCGAACTTTGATAATATTCCATCACTATAGCTGTTACCTATAACCAAATTAATACAGCTGGGATATTTTATTAATATTGGACCGCGTGTAATCGCCGGTTTTTCAAAGCATCACATTTGAATTAGTTTTATCTATTGAAAATTTTCTGTTTAGAATATGCCATAAAGTCGCGAGATTTCTGTTGTACAATATATTTTATTCGTGTGACGGTAATATGACAAACAACTAATTTTTTTTTTTAAGCAGCTGTTTGGACTTTTGTGTCTAATGATTGATTACATTTATAACATTTGTAATTTGTTATTACATTTGTAACATTGATTAATGTTACAAAACATATTAATTTCGCAGCAGCCACATTTGCATATGTTTCATGACAACATGCGAAGATTATTTGGATATATGTATAAAAGCGTTTTTCTTTCACGGAAGTAATTTATTTCCCTATGCCTCTGCCAATGTTAGTGATTTAATTGTTTTAATAGAGTAATTTATGGGGATTTAAAAAAATCCATAAATAACTTCAGAAAAAAAAATGAAAGAAGCAGTTTTGAGCCTAATTAGGGATTTTTTGGAGAGATGATTATTTCTTGTACAGTTTTCTTAAGTTGTATTGTTGCATTCCGGAACCAGGCAGGTTTCATGATTATTTCTTGTACAGTTGTATTGTTGCATTCCGGAACCAGGCAGGTTTCATGATGATTTCTTGTACAGTTTTCTTAAGTTGTATTGCTGTATTCCGGAACCAGGCAGGTTTCATGATGATTTGAAACTGATTTGTAAATCGGTTTTGTTTTTGTTTTGCAATTTTTTAGAGTTTAACATTGATTGTTTTCTCTAGGTACTATATCACATGTTTGATGGATATACAGAAATTGGCCAGGACAACATTCTACCCATTGATTACCTGGCTGGCGTGTTGTCCTTTTTCGTTGCCTCACTAGGCGGAGTCTTTTTCGGTGTTTTGTGGGGAATCCTAGCGGCATTTATATCGCGGTTAACTCATCACGTGTTGATAATCGAGCCTATATTTGTATTCGTGTTTGGATACCTATCTTACCTGACTTGTGAGATGTTTCATTTGTCGGGGATCGTTGCGTAAGTACTACTTCGTAATGTTATCAGCGTGTCAGAGCAGAATAAGTGTTCTCAGAAAAATACTTTTATCAGAAGGGTAAAATTATTAAGGAATATAATGAAAAGTATTATATACAATGACTTTTTAACTATTATTCAGTATTTATTGTAACATTCGCTACAGACTGTCTTTTTTTATTATTACTTGGAAAATTAGCTTAACATAATTTTATCCCATAACTTATCTTACTGTTGATTTATAAGAGTATATTAGTATACTTTGGTGACAGATTTTCTTGTAGGCAGATTTTGTTAAACAAGACCGATGTCTGTAGGTTTACTTTCTTCTTAGAATTCTTCTCAAGAAGTCGATAAGCCGTCTTAACGTTGTTAGAACAACGGGTAAAAGTTGTAGATAGTGATGAGTTGGCCGACGCGTTTCGAATGCGTTCTGCATCCATTCAGCCTTGATAATGGATGCAGAACGCATTCGAAACGCGTC